TCGTTCTTACGGAACTCACTCGTTCCGTCGTGCCTTACGGGCTCTCTCTCGAACCCAACCAGCAGCCGCACAGCGGCGCATGATATAGGCAGTATGTTATTACCGACAAAGACAAGGGAGACTGAAATGGCCATTTTTGGCGCATAAGCTGTCGTTAGCTAGTCATACCCAAGGGCCGAACCCCTCGTAGCTGTGTCACGCAGAAGCAGAGTATCGGCGAAACACATGTCTGGGCTTTTAGTTAGTAAATGTGTCCGGAGTACGGTATGGTATCTTTGATGCATACATTTCATACTACTTGTGGGAGTACTCGTTTGTTGAATTGGCATTACGTGGTTATTCTACAGTAGTCGATTGTCTTCGACTCTTGGGATCGTGGCCGAGTGGTTAGAGGCGTGTACATCTGACAGGTCGCGAGTTCGAGCCTCGCGTGTTCCACGCTTCGGGATTGGGTATGACTGACTGACGACGGCTAATAAGCCAGAAATTGCCATTCCAGTCCTCCCTGTCTTTGTCTGTAATAACATACAGCCTAGATTATTTTGTGTTTATAAATAGGACTTTTTATTGCGTTAAATCAACGTGTAATTTTAGTCTCTTCAGGATAACGTTGCTGATTTTCAGTATTGTCATCCGATCGCCCATAAAGAAAGATTCTGTAACATGTTTCTGTTAAACTTTTAAATAAGGCATTTATCGAAGTAGCGAGCGTTTGGACGTTCTTTTTCATGAAGAAGGTCGTTTGAGTCGAATTCGAAGACTCACTCAAGCATGAAACTTCATTGTCGAATATAATAGCTGTCCACAACGAAAGTCAGTAACAAATAGGCTTTCAATCACAATTTGAAAACTCTCTCTAATAAGTTACCTCTTTAGGAAGTGCTTTCTTACTGCACTCCGTTGACGGATCTCTGTGTACTTTGCACTTTTGCACGGTGAGGCCAAGAAAAAATATGACAATTTTGGCCGTTTCTTTCACGTTCCTAAACCATTCTGATATGTTTCTTCCGTAAACGCAAGACTATATCTTTCTCTATATATTGCGACCATTTTCATTGTTTTTGCTCGCGTTTAGACTCCGTTCTTCGAGGAATGTTTCTTATCTTCAAGACTGGAAATGGCCATTCGGTAGTGGTCATTTCTCTGACATAACGTTAAATCCTCTAGACGGCAAAACAATTTCAGCCCATTTGAACGAAGGAATCCCTGTCTGCGTTATTACTGCACTTCAGGGCACCAAGTCGCACTGACCTGCTAATATGACCTTTTAAAAATGGTTAAAATATTTGGTTCTTTTAAAATGACCTTTGTGTGAGCAAATTGATTACCACGGTTAGGATCGGACATGAAACAAATTCTCAAGTCCGCAAACCCCTGCTTATTAAAACTCCCGCGAGTCAATTAGTCTCCTTTTAATGTGAAACACGCTCAAATGCACAACCGAAGTCTAGGACAGATATTAGCATATGAAATGGCACGAATATATTGCAATGTTCACTTTTTCTAAAAAAATAATAGTTAGTATTTTGCTGGATATAATTGTGTAAACACGATTTCTGCACAAGAAAAGGGCATTTAATTAAAAGGGCCGAATATGCAAGCAAAATGCGTAACTTTTAAGACGTCCAAAAATTGTCACATAAGTTTCCGTGATCAGGTTCCACGAGATAGGTCACGTACTGTAGGTAAATGTCGTAGTTGAATTTACGTATTCCCTTTGGGTATTTATTTGCGAACGTTACTAAAGGACTCTTTAAAATTATTCTACGTGAACTACTTTATTTGCTCGTTTTTCCGCATGCACACACGAAACCCCGCCCAGCCACCATGCGGTTTTCACCAACACTCTTTATCAGCACAAAACGAACCAAAACACAGTGGCAATAATTGAATTTGTCGCAGACGGTGTCCTCATTAGTAAGTTACACGTCAGTCCATTTGGCTTTGAAAGTGCGCCATCGGCGGTGTCTAGCCCATGTAGCTCTGACCAATAAAAATAACTCGGGGGTTCTCACTGACGCATTACACCACATAACTGTGCCGACTATCGCCCAATCGAATCCGCACTTTGAAATCGGCCAATCAGGACCCGAAGGTCATGAGTGCGTGCGGGCGGGTTCAAAGTGTGCTGGCACTATAAGAGGCAGTGCTAATGGCACTCGCGATCATTCTTCGCTCCTGTTCTGGTTATCACTCGAGATGGCGCTCGCAGACGTCGAAGTATTCGAAGACGCAGTCCCCCTGGTTCGTAGCTGTCCAGCCCTCAACGAGATTCGCACTTCGGGAGAATTGAAAGAGCTCGTCATAGAGGTAGCTGTCTTTTTTGTTACCGTTCTTTACACGGCAATTTGTTCATGCTTGTTAGGTGAAGCACGGCGCTATTCTCAATGCCCATCGAATAATACTAGCAGCTCGCATTCCGTCATTGCGAGCTGCTCTCAGCGGCGCCCCAGGGAAGGATAATTCGGTGCTCAAATGGCCGACGGTGCCTCTGAAGTAAAGTCATCCTCCTTTCTCTGATTTTGCTTTTGCACTTTCTAGCCTCGCAAATTCACTCCTCCAGTATGTGTACACCGGGCAGTTGGAGGTAACCCAAACGAATGCGATGGCCATAGTGATGTTTGCCAAAATGATGAGACTGTCTGATCTGGAGAATTGGGGAGTGCGATTCATGGCCAATAGGTAAGCAAGTGCCGGTTCTTTCTGTCTAACTGTCGGCTGTAAAGAGTGAATTTAGAAAATCTGGCAAGCACGTGGGACTTTGCCAGATCTTCGAATATGGGCTTACTGATGGAGGCTTGCATCAATCTGATGCAAGCGCAGTTTACGAATTTCGTCTCTACGCACCTCTTTATTCGTCTGCCAGCTGACACCGTGCTGACTTTGTTGCGAAACGACAATCTGTCAGTGGACTCCGAGGAGGCAGTTTTTGAGGCGATTTCAAGCTGGGTGGCTGCCGGCGATAAAGAGTGCGACAATGAGAGACTGAGACTGCACGCCTCGGAGATGCTAAAGGAGGTTCGTTGGTGTCAGACGACTCTCCAATTTCGCAATCGCCTTGTCGATAGTCATCCGATTTTCCAGGATAACAACAGCTGTGGGTAAGTATATGCTGTACTAGTTCGTCATTTATTTTCTAATGAAAGTCGCTTTATGGCTCTGGTGGAGCAGTGGATTAGCAACGCAGACAAGGACAAGCCTCCGTGTCCCTTCAACCGACGTCGGAGAACGCATAGGACGATCTTCTTCTTCGTATTTGGAAAGGACAAAAATCAGGACAGGTGGTCTGTTCTGCGTTTTGATCCGCACCTCGAAAAGGAAGAGAGGATTGCCGACATGGAGAAGCGAGAATACGCCACCTACAGTCTCGTGGGCGGTGAGTTGCCTGACAGTTACGCACCTCCTCTTCTGCGCACCTGCCTTGTTTTCCTGTTTGTCTAATTTCGCCAGTTGGTGTCTCTTTTTGCCAGAATTATAACAAACACACAGTTCTGCCAGTACAGCTGCCATCGCCGCAGAATGCATAGGATTGCAGCAGTAATAGCAGTAATTCAGGGGTTTTGAGGTCTTGGAGTTGTCCATTCGCCTGGCCTGTACCGACGCGTTTTTTTGTTTTTTTATTTTATCTTTCCTATCTTCTTTCATCTTTCCACTTTATCTTTACTCCGCGTAATTTTATGAAACTTTTTTCTACTCCACCCCACCCCCACGGAAGAGAGCATTTTCGTGGTTGGAGGAGACACTGCGCAGGAAGGGAGGTACTCCACGAGTGTCGGGGAGTTTCTGGTGGCAGAACGGCGCTGGCGCAAACGGGCGTCCCTCGACGTTGGACGTCGCGTGCACGCAGCTGCAGTTCTGACGGAAGCCGGAGGGGAGGCGCTGATCGGCGTTTTCGGTGGATGGGGTAACGGTAGTCGCCTTTCCTCTTGTGAAGTCTATGAAGTCGGTCGGGACAGGTGAGAGCACACTCGTCCTGGCGCCTCCTTTTTTTCTTGCAAAATCTTCCTGTTTTGCCTTCTCACTCGTCGCCTCCTCACTCGTCTCCTCCCCAACACACACAGGTGGTTTAAACTGCCTGATCTGCGAGAGAAGAGGAGCGCACCAGCTGCTGCCTGCCTGCCCGGCGACAGTCGAATCTTCGTTTTTGGCGGTCATAATGGCTCCTCCTATCTGGCTTCTGTGGAGTTCTGCCACCTGCGAGCAGACTGGCGAGAGAGGGCGACCTCGTCGGACTTTTGGCAGCCAGCCGCACCCATGAGAACTGCACGATGGGGGCTGGCAGCGACACACCTTCGGGGGAAAATCATTGTCGCCGGGGGATATGGTGGTGGAAACGTGGTGGAGATGTTCACACCGCCAGATGCCAGGTGTCCCCGGGGCCAGTGGACAGACTTGGCCGGCATGAAGGAACCCCGCGCGTTTTTCTCTCTTCTTACCTCCACCGACGACGCCATCTTTGCTGTCGGTAATGATGCCTCCTTCCTCCTCCTTTGCTCTACACTGACTGCATTCCTTCTTCACTCTCTCCTCTTTTTCATGCCATTCCATGTCCTTTTCTGTGTAATCCCTTTTTATGAGGAAGATTAAGACATCCCTAGTGATGGCAACCATGTGTAAATGTGACTTTGCATGGCGTTTCGTAAACACAACGAGGTTAGCGCCGATGGTAGTCCGTCTGTATTGCAAATCGTCTGCTTTTTAAAATAGATTTTTACGAGAATCATGCAGCCGAATGGTTAAAGCCTCTTCAGTAGATACTGCGTTCAAAGCTTACTTTGTCTACTCTGCGTTTTATTGAAATAAATTTTTGTCTAGCGGTATTGTGCAAATCGTATGCTAATTTTGTCTGTTTTGATATTTATGAAGATTGAATTTCACTGGAATTATTCACAATTTGCAGGCTGCTGGTTGGGATCAGGAAACACGGTGGAAACTTTCACAGCACCAGGCGGGCCAGCTGATGTCAGCAACGACTTGACATCTTGGAGTTGGTCGTCGAAGAAACCGCTGGAGACGCTTGAAAAGATCGCTGGAGCTGCAAGCATTCGCATGTGAACTTTTGTGTTTCTTGATGTTCCTTCTATGGCCCGCATGTTAAGAAATAAACGACTTGCAATGTAAGCTGTTTTGTCGTTTTTTTGAAAACTTCGAATGGTTGAGGGGTGCCCAACACCTAAGGCGACCGATTAATGGCGTGTTTATCTCTGCAAGGAATGAACTGCATGAAACAGTTAATTTTTTTACGAGGGAGATGCTCATTTTCGGGCGTAATGCATGGTTTTGGGAGAAATCATTGTCGCCAGCGGATATGATATTAGAGAAGAATTAGCCGTAGTGGTGATGTTCTATCCACCAGGTGTCCTCAGGGCAAAAAACATGACATCCCTATTTTATTTTTAAAAACTGCGAAAGTGTCTTAATTGTATAACGCATGGGGTGAAAAATAATCTCTAGCATATCTCTGCGAGGAATGAGAGATGTGGTCGACGTAAGTTTGGCAAAGAGATGCCAACTTGCTGACGAAGTGAGCAACACTAGTAAGATCGCAGATCGGGGAGCTTGTGTGTTAATATGAATGGCACACGTACTACTTACTGAGGCGACAGGCTACAGGAACAGTTAGAGACTGGACGGCGGACCTGGCACTATGAATTAGGACAGATGTCACCAAGTCCTTATAGTGTCCCACTTCTAAAAGCCAATGTAGCCCACCCCCACGAAATGCGATAGACTGGTGTGTGAGTTGCTATCGGACGTCTCTATCAAGGGGATTCGGCATAAGTGATTGTGACCTGATATGTCATTGAAAGTTACATTCCTTAATATTCGGTCGACGGAAGATGTCGGCGGCATGTACGCTGTCTCCGTAGCAGAAAAGTGATACCTTTCTTCCTCTGAAAAAGATATAGCGGTTGGGCTGTCTCGGGATTTATGTTTAGCAAAGATTTCACCGAGCACGACGAGCTCACATGAATGATGTCAAGGGTATTTAAGGAAACGCATGTTCAAACATAACCCTGGCTTGTGATTTGGTTGCAACCAGAGATACGATTAACTGAATCGGCACTATCTACGTGGGAAGGCCCTGATTCTTCTTGCGTACCAGGTGGACGGTCAGTCATCAGGGGCGCATCTCGAGTTGCTGGCCCCTGGACAGTGAGGCGGCCTGCGAGCCTGCCGATAGAAAATCGATCGTGCTCGATGGATGACGCAGCTGGCAGATTTCGCCAGATGGGCGAACGCTGAATGCGAGTAGAAGCGCCCCTAGATGACCTTGGCAGCAGGTAGTCAGTGGCGTGCGCAGTCGTTGCGTGTGTGCGTCACCGAACAATGCATCGATCGCAGTCCGTGCACGTAGATTTCGCCAGATGGCCGAGCGCTGAATGCGAGTAGAATCGCCCCTAGATGACCTTGGCAGCAGTTAGTCAGTGGCGTGATGCGCAGTTGTTGCGTGTGTACGTCACTGGACAATGGCAGTGTCCCTAAAACCGCTCACGCAGCAGATGCGCTAGAAAAACACGCTGGCTAGACCGGGGTTTGTCTGGCGTTAATTGGAAACGTGCACTCAGGAAATGTCAACATTTTGTCCGACTTTCAGACATACGTGGAGGTTTTCCTTGCTAGGTATCCACATTTCCATCAAAAATGTCAGTTACGGATGTCAGAAATGCCAGACTCGGTTATAAAAACAAAAGGCTGTGTTATTACTTAAAACATAGGAAGATCGCCATCAGTCACACTTTGGACATATCTACTCGACAGATCATCAGACGAAGTGCGAATATTTGCAGGAGTGCAGACGTTATTATTAAGAATATGCGTGCGATATTAGAGGAATTTCAGCCCATGCATATTTCACCCTCTGTTTCTTCACAACTTCAATTTGTTGCTGTCTTTGTTCGAAAATGAACTTGAAACTTCAAGTGAACATTACTTTCGTTTTAGTGATCGAGTGATTTTCCTCACAGCAAAATAACACTGTTAAGGAAGCTCCAGTTCTGAAAATGATGTGGGTTCGGTCTCCGAAGTTGCTCCTTAGAGAAACCGCATAATTAATCAGTCATTGTGAATATCTGTATTTTGCTGTCAGCAGACTTTTTACATTCAAAGTGAAACAAATGCCGTGGGATTGCGATTAACATCGAAACAGCCAGTCCCAAGTTAAATTAGTGCGGATTCGACAATCTACAGGACTGTTTCACCGAACGTAGGTGCAAGATGTCCAGTCAATTGCAAATTCACTGAAAGATCACATGCAATGCGAATCCCTAAGCTACGTAAAGGTTTCATTTTTTCAACTGTCCGTGTTGATGTATTCGCATAAATTAGATATGCGTAATCCAGGACAGTAAACCAAGTGGGATTTTAGAATTAATTCGACGCGCTCCGTAAGGAGTGGATTTACCTACGTTAAAATTCGTCGTAGCGGAATGTGCATTAAATAAACAAACAGTTTTTATTAACATCCTACACTGTTTTAATATAGACACAGTCTGAGCGTCTGTCTGGCATTAATTGGAAAGGGGCAATCAGCAAATTTCAACACTATGTCGACTTCAGCCTGCCAGGAAAACCTCATTTCTAACAAAAATTCCCGTTTCCAAAGTCATAGAATCGCCAAAGTCAGTTTTTAGAACCAAGGATGATGTTAGTATTTAAAAAACGGCTAATTCGTGAACAGTCACAATTTAAACATATGTACTCGGGAAATCATCAAACGCATTACGAAAAGCTGAAGTGAATGCGGTCGTTATCATTATAAGCATGCGCATGATAGCATAGGAATTGCAGTTTATAAAACTTTCACCCTCTGTACGTCCCCAACTTCAATCTGTTGCCTTCCTTAATCGAAAAGGAATCGGGAAACTAATGTGAACATTATTCTCGCTCCAGCGATCGAGCGAATCTCCTCACATCAAAATGACACCGTTAAGAATGCTTTACTTCTGAAAAATAAGTGGTTTCATTCTCCGAAGTTGCTACTAAGCCTAACTGGTGCTATTCGAACCCACAACAGCAAAGAGAGGCTTTAGTACGGCCAACGCTCTAGCCACCTAAGATACGAGGCCCCACCGGACGACGCGAGTTTAATCATATCTTAATCAAGTTTACTCGTTCGATCTACTGCAAAGTCTGGTATCCACCAAATCTGATAAAGTAAGCTGACATTCTAAGCAAGATTTTCTAATTTATACATATAGAATCCATCAGATAGCTAAGGGTTTCACGAAATTCATAGCTATTATGGCAGATACGATTAATGTAGCGTCGTCCGGTGGAGCCTTTTAGGTCAGTGGGCTAGAGCGTTGGCTGTACTAAGGCTACCTAAACATGAAGTGGGTTCATAGACCATAGAGGCGCCGAGTATTTCATATGCGTATCAAAATGACTCGTTTGTGTACTTGCGTTTAATACGGCAATATCGACAACAGTCGGTCAAGCTGCAATAGGATCGTATTGCCAGTCAAAATAAGGAGATATGGATTACTTGACATAGTAAAACGCTTGCTGTCGTGGGTTTCAGTCACACCGTGGCACCGAGGTTATACAGTTCGATCGAGGTGGATAACTGAGACTTTAGGAAATATATTCTGTAAACTGAAGGGGATATCTGTTTTGGCGGATAGGCAATTCAAGACTACACAGTGGTAATACCGTCAGGTGTGGCACAACACTGACGAGTTAGGTAAATACCCCGCAAGCTGGTTGAAAACCTGCAGCTCTGTATTACGTATTAAAAATGCTGCACTCATTGCATTAGGGTTCCTGACATCAATATTCACAAACCAAGTGACAGATGCGAGCAGATCACGCCACTCTAGGTGCAACGATTTGTACTTAAATCTGCTGATCCAATGCGGAGGGAGGGAGGGAGCTGGCTGGGTGGGGTTTCGTATGTGCAGATAGCAGGCGCGCTCGTGTTGCGTACTATCAGGGTGGGACATCGATTCCCGTAAAAAAAGAGGATGACGCACTCTCTACTCAATCTTCTCTTCAGCCTCACAGCGACTGCCGCCCTGAATTACGCTAGTCCTCCACCTTAGCTAAATGTAGCCACAGGTGATCTAGATGGTTGTGTGGAATCGCTGTCTTTCAACTGCTGTTTGTTACATTAAGTCTGCTGTAGAGCGTGCTGTCGATCAGAGTTAGGTAAACACCGGGCAAAACGCACTGCTAGAAAACTGCACAAACTTCTATGAAGTACAGGCCTCTGGTTTAAACTTGTGAAGCATAAAGGCTCCTGCATCCGACGAAATCGCCGACAGACTGGCAGGGTGAGTCCGCTCACTCTGGCAGCCTGGAATGTTCATTCCCTTTTAGACAATCCAAGGAGCAACCGACCGGAACGGAGGACGGCGCTAGTGGCACGAGAACTGACGCGCTACAAGGTGGACATCGCCGCACTCAGCGAGACCCGATTCTCCGAACAAGGCCAACTGGAGGTTGTGAGGGCCGGCTACACCTTCTTCTGGAGTGGCCGACCCAGGGCAGAGCGACGAGACGCGGGTGTCCTCCTCGCCATCCGGAACGACATCGTGGGACGACTGACCAGTCTACCGCAGGGAATCAACGATCGCCTGATGAGCCTCCGTCTGCCTCTAAGGCAGGCGTGGGGGCAAATTCGCCACCATCATCAACGCCTACGCTCCGCCGATGAGCAGCCCCGACGCCGCCGCAAGGGACAAATTCTACGAGGACCTGCACGCCCTCTTGGCGACTGTGTCGAAGGCGGACAAGTTGATTGTCTTTGGCGACTTCAACACCCGCGTCGGCACAGACCATACTGCCTAGAGAGGAGTGCTGGGTCCCCATGGTCTCCGCGGCTCCAACGACAATGGTCTGCTGCTGCACCGCACCTGCTCAGAACACTGCCTCATCCTGACGAAGACCTTTTTCTGTCTGTCGGAGCGAGAGAAGGCCACCTGGAGGCATCCTCGGTCCCGTCGGTGGCACCTGCTGGACTACGTCCTCGTCCGGAGGCGAGATCAGCGGGACGTGCTGGTGACAAAGGCGATCGCGGGTGCTGATGGGTGGACCGACCATCGCCTCGTCATCTCGAAGATGCGTATTCGCATACAGCCTCGCAGGAGACCACAAGGTAAGCGACCCCCAGGTAAGCTGAATGTTGCCTTGTTGTCTTTGCCCGCTCACAATATTCATTTCAGCAATGAGCAAGCTCAACGGCTAGACAAAATTCCCATCGACGATGCAGCCGACGAAGAGGCCACCATTGCAGAGAACGCCTCCGTGGAGGACCGCTGGTGTCAACTACGAAACACGGTCCAGGCGACGACGCTCGCCGTCCTCGGTCTCGCTCCCCGCCAACAGCAGGACTGGTTCGACGACAACGAAGCCGCCATCAGAAATCTGCTTGCTGAGAAGAACCGCCTACACAAAGCCTACGTAGATCACCCCACTGATGACAACAAAGCTGCTTTCTCCCGCAGACGCCGCCAGCTTCAGCAATGACTGCGCGGGATGCAGGATGCCTGGACTGCTCGCAAATCTGATGAGATTCAAGGCTACGGGGACCGCAACGAATGGAAGAACTTCTTCTCTGCGATCAAAGCTGTCTACGGTCCGCCGACGAACTGCACTGCTCCTCTCCCCAGCGCCGACGGCAGCACTCTCCTGACTGAGAAGACGCAAATCCTACAGCGATGGGCGAGCATTTCCGAGGCATCCTCAACCGCCCCTCCGTTATCTCCAACGCCGCCATCGAGCGTTTGCCGCAAGTGGAGACCAACATCGTCCTCCACCTCCTGCCATCTCTCCAGGAAACCATCAGGGGCGTGCAGCAGCTCTCCAGCGGGAAAGCACCCGGATCGGACGCAATCCCTGCTAAGGTCTACAAGCACGAAGGTCCCCTACTAATGGACCACCTGAATGCGATCTTCCAGGAGCTGTGGCGTCAAGATGAAGTCCCGCAAGACTTCAAAGACGCAACCATCGTGCATCTCTACAATCAAAAAGGGAATCACCAAGTCTGCGACAATTACGCGGCATCTCCTTGCTGAACATTGCCGGGAAGATCTTCGCTCCCATCCTCCTCAATCGTCTGAATAATCATCTGGAACACGGCCTCCTACCGGAAAGCCAATGCGACCTCCGTTGTCATCGCGTGACCACGGACATGATCTTCGCCGACCGTCAACTTCAGGAGAAGTGCCAGGAGATGCGAACCCACCTGTCCTCTACCTACGTGGAACTGACGAAAGCCTTCGACACGGTGAATCGTGAAGGACTATGAGTGATCATGCAAAACTACGGCTGTCCGTAGCGATCCATTGAGATGGTGCGTCAGCTGCACGACGGTATGATGGCGCGAGTCACGGACAACGGATCTGTCTCAGAGACATTCGTAGTGGCCAACGGTGTGAAGAAGTAATGCGTGCTGGCACCTACCCTCTTCAGTCTTATGTTCTCTGCCATGCTGATGGACCCCGATCGTGTTGAGCACCCCGGGATCCGCATTGCCTACAGGACGGACGGTCACCTGCTGAATCAACGGCGGATGCACTTCCAATCGCGCGTATCCACAACCACCGTTCACGAACTTCTCATCGCCGACGACTACGCCCTGAACACCACATCTGAAGTGGGGATGCCACGGAGCATGGACCTGTTCTCTGCCGCCTGCGAGAACTTTGGGCTGGTCATTAACACGCAGAAGACGGTGGTGATGCATCAACCGGCACCCAATTCAGCCACAGCCCACAACGCGTCGCCGCAAATCAGCGTGAATGGAACCCAATTGCAAGTGGTGGAGAACTTCCCGTACTTGGACAGCACCCTTTCCCGCAACACCAAGATCGATGACGAAGTCGCCAACAGGATCTCGAAAGCCAGTTAAGCCTTCAGTCTCCTCAAAAGCACAGTTTGGAATCGTCATGGCCTCCATCTGAGTACGAGGCTAAAGATGTACAAGGCCGTCATCCTGCCGACGCTTCTGTATGGAGCGGAGACCTGGACGGTGTACACGAGGCAGGCACGCCGACTGAACCACTTCCACCTCAGTAGTCTCCGTCGCATCCTGTGGCTGCACTGGCAGGATCGAATCTCCGACAGAGATATGCTGGAACGATCGGAAATGCTCGGCATTTACTCCATGCTGAGACAAATGCAGCTGCGCTGGAGCGGCCATCTGGTGCGCATGGACGACGAGCGACTACCCAAACGACTCTTCTTCTACGAGTGTTTCTCCTCACATCAAAATGACACTGATGAGAAAGCTTGATTTTTAAAAAAATGAATGAATTCAGCCTCCACAGTTGCCATTAAGCGTTACCACAATCTACTTAATACATTCCTAATGAAAATGCAGTTTGTTAACGCAGATGCTCCGCGAGGGTTTTAACCTTTTCTGATTAGCGCGGTGCATCTTTTGACTGTTCAGATTTAACCAGAAATCACACCAAATGGGTTAGTCATTGTTTTTCCATTTTTCCATTGTCGTCAGCATCAACAGAAAAGCCTGCAGTGGCGTTGTATAGGCAGCACTGTTCATGAGTGTAGCACAGCGGCAGATTTCAAATAATTCACTTTGATACAATTGTGAACAACTCGGTGCGTCGATAGGATTCAAACCGACGACACAGCAAAGGGTGGCTTTAGTACGGCCAACGCTCTGGCCACCTGAACTACGAGGCCCCATCGGACGGCGCGAATTTAATCACATCTGCCTTAACACCCATGAATTATGGGAGCCTGATAGCCGCAATCTGGTGAATTCTAGATGTATTAATTGGAAAATCCTGCTTAGGCAGTCAACCTACTGTATCAGATTTGGTGGATACCAGACCTTGCAGTAGGTTGGGCGGGTAAAATTGACGCAAATGTGATTCAACTCACGTATTCAGGTGGAGCCTCGTAGTTCATGTGGCTAGATTGATGGCTGTACTAAAGCGCGCGCTTTCTGTAGCAGGTTCGAATCTCACTGAGACACCGAGGTTTTACAGTTCGATCGAGGTGGGTACGTGTGTCCTTAGGAAATATATTCTTTAAGCTGAAGGGACCCTCGATTCTGGCGGATAGGCAATTTGAGACCATACAGTGGTTGTACCTGCCAATGTGGCACAACAATGATATGTCAGATAAATTTCCCGCAGGCAGGTTGCAAACCTGTAGCCCTGTATTACGTCCAACGAACGTAGTCGGTCGACGAAAGATGTTGGCGGCAGGTACGCTGTCTGTCTCCGTAGCAGCAACTGATCTGTCTTTTCCTCTGAAAAAAGATTTAGCGGTTGGGCTGTCTCGGGATTTATGCTTAGCAAAGATTGCACCGAACACGACGAGCTCACATGAATGATGTCAAGGGTACTTGAGGAAAAGCATGTTCAAAAATAACCCTGGTTAGTGATTTGGTTGCAAACAGAAATACGATTAACTGAATCGGCACTATCACTGGAATTATTAACAATATGCAGGCTCAGGAAACACGGCGGAGACTTTCACAGCACCTGGTGGATCAGCTGATGTCAGCAACGACTTGACAGCTTGGACCTGGTCGTTGAAGAAACCACTGGAGACGCTCAAAAAGATCGTTGGAGCTGCAGGCATTCGCATGTAAACTTCTGCATTTCTTGATGCTCCTTCTATGACCCGCAAATTAAGAAATATACGACTTGCAAATTAACCTGTTTCGTCGTTTTTATGTAAAACGTCCAATGGGTGTGCAGTGCCCAACATCTAAGGTGACCGATTATAAATGATGTGTTTACCTCTGCAAGGAATGAAATACATGAACCAGTTATTTTTTACGAGGGAGATGCTCATTTTCGGGAGTACTACTAACGGCGGCGACAGGCTACAGGAACAGTTAGAACGTGGATGGCGGACTTGGCATTATGCATTAAGACAGATGTCACCAAGTCTGAATAGTGTCACACTCCTAAGAGCAAATGTAGCCCACCCCCATGAAATGCGATATACTATTGTGTGAGTTGCTTTCGGCTCTCGCTATTGAAGGAATTCGGCATATGTGATTATGACCTGATATTTCATGAAAAGTCACCTTATTTTTCGGTCGACGGAAGATGTTGGTGGCAGGTACGCCGTCTGTCTCCGTAGCAGCAACTGATCCGTTACTTCCTCTGAGAAAGATTTAGCGGTTAGGCTGTCTCGGCACATATGCTTAGCAAAGATTTCACCGAGCACGACAAGCCCACATGATTGATGTCAAGAGTATTTGAGAAAACGCATGCTCGGACATAACCATGATTAGTGATTAAGGTGCAACCACAGATATGGTTAACTGAATCGGCACTATCTACGTGGGAATACCCTGCTTTATGTTGCGTACCCGGTGGACAGTCAGTTATCAGGCGCGTACCTCGAGTTGGTGATCCCTGGACCGTGAGGGGGGCTGCGTGTCTGACGAGAGAAAATCGATCGTGCTCGATGGATGACGCAGCTGGCAGATTTCGCCAGATGGCCGAAGGCTGAATGCGAGAAGAAGCGCCCCTAGATGACCTTGGCAGCAGGTAGTCAGTGGCGTGCGCAGTCGTTGAGTGCGTACGTGCCTGAACAATGACAGTGTCCCTAAAACCGCTCAAGCGGCAGATGCGCTGAAAAACATGCGGGCTAGGTCGGGGTTTGTTTGGCGTTAATTGGAAACCTGCATTCAGAGAATGCCAACATTGGGTCCGACTTTCAGACATATGTAGACTTTTTCCTTGCTAGATATCCACATTTCCATTAAAAATGTCAGAGTCGGTTATAAAAACAAAAGGCTGTGTTATTACTTAAAACACGGGTAGATCGCCGTCAGTCACATTTTGGACATATCTACTCGACAGATCATAAAACGAATTGCGAATATTTGCAGGAGTGCACACGTTATTATTAAGAATATGCTTGTGATATTAGAGGAAGTTTAGTTTTTGCATATTTCACCCTCTGTTTCTTCACAACTTCAATTTGTTGCTTTCCGTGTTCGAAATTGAACTTGAAACTTCTAGTGAACATTACTTTGGCCCTAGTGATCGAGTGATTTTCTTCACAGTAAAATTACACTGTTAAGAAAGCTCCGGTTCTGAAAATTATGTGATATCGGTCTCCGAAGTTGTTCCTAAGAGAAAACGCAGTCTTCTCTATACCTACATGATTACCTCCGACGAAGAAGGCATTATTATTCAGTTATTGTAAATATCTATAATTTGCGATCAGAAGTCTTCTTACGCTCAACGTGAAACAAATGCGATGGAGTTGTGATTAACAACGAAACACGCCAGTCCAAGGCTAAATTAGCGCCCATTCGTCAATCTGTATTAGTGTTCCACCGAACATAGGTGCAATATGTCCAGTCAATTGCGAATTCACTGAATGATCACGTGCAATACGAGTCTCTAACGTACTTAATGATTTCCTTTTTTTAAATGTGCGTGTTTGTATATTCGCATGAATTAGAGATGCATAATCCAGGACAGCAAATTAAGGGTGAGGGAGAGAAGATGCGGAAAATGAAATAATGATTTCTGATTTTAGAACCCTTGTACATTGAAAGGGTGAACACACACACACTGAGTTTTAAATTAAGCACAGTCATATACAGGTGCTCGCCTTCAAGTCCGTCAACGGTGAAGTCGACGAGCTCCGTAATGAGTGGATTTACCTATGATAAATTTCGTCGTAGCGGAATGTGTATTAAATAAACAAACTGTTTATTAACATCCTACTGTCCTTTAATATAGAAACAGTCTGACATCCGACGATCGGACACGGATATGTGCATCCGTGTGGGACATTTACAGAGGGAAATCGGTGCTATAAAATATCTAAATGGCAAACAGCCCACATGTACACGGATGCGTTCACAGACTATTCAAGTATTGTGAATTAACACGAATCGGGTGCGCGGTTTAGATTGCGGGGTGTTTGAAACGACCAAGTGCTCAGATGGCTAAACAAGATACTGCCGGTTATGTCGATGATAGATAGGTGGATATTTCTCATTGGTGGAGAAACCTTGGTACTACTGCCAGACTTAAACTAAACACAACAAAATTGGCAGATGGCAGAGTTTTTAGTGTGTGCTTTTTAATGCATTAAAAGGCTCCTTGCAGGTAGACCGCACACAGGTATACACATACCTGCACAATTAATTAAAGCCTTGAGAATTGAAACTAACCGAATGTGCGATTTCGATAGAATGGTGCATTACACAACCTGGTAATTAGATGTCCAGAAAAGGTACTGCCAGTTAAGACTACACCGGAGCATTGTGAATGATTCAGCGGTAGTTCTATTAGACAAATAATCAACCAGGATCTCTCAACTTTGCCAATCTGAACAGATCGGGGTCCGTCTGGCATTAATTGGAAAGGGACACTCATCTACTTTCAATACTGCGTCGACTTCAGCCTGCCAGGCAAACCGCATTTCTAACGAAAATTCCCGTTTCCAAAGTCAAACAATCGCCAAAGTCAGTTTTTAGGACAAAGTATGATGTAAGTAATTAAAAAACGGCTAGATCGAGAGCAGTCACAATTTAAACATATTTTCTCGGGAAATCGTCAAACGATTTACGAAAAGCTGAAAAGAATGCGGACGTTATGATTATATTCATCCGCATGATAGCATAGGAATTGCAGCTTATAACAATTTCACCCTCTGTACGTCCACAACATCGGTCTGTTGCTGTCCTTGGCCGAAAAGGGATCGGGAAGCTCAAGTGAACTTTATTTTCGTCCAAGCTATCGAGTGATTCTCATCACATCAAAATGACACTGTTAAGAATGCTTTACTTCTGAAAAATAAGTGGTTTCAGTCTCCGAGGTTGCTCCTAAGCCTAACTGATGGGATTCGAACCCACAACAGCAAAAAGAGTCTTTAGTACATCCAACGGTCTAGCCGCCTGATATAAGAGGCCCCACCGGACGACGCGAGTTTAATCACATCTAAATCAAGTTTACCCGTCCGATCTAATTCAAGGTCTGGTATTCACCAGATCTGATAAAGTAAGTTGATTTCCCAAGCAGTATTTTCTAATTTATTCATCTAGAATTCACCTGATGGCTACGAGTCTCACGTAATTCATAGGTATCATGGCAGATACGATTAATTTAGCTTCGTCCGGTGGAGTCTCTTAACAAGTGTGACTAGAGCGTTAGCCGTATTAAACTTCTCCACCGAGAAGCCGAGTATTTCATATCCGCATCAAAATAACGCGTCTTTGTTCTTGAGTTTAATACGGAAATATCGACAATAGTCGGCCAAGCTGCAATAGGCTCGCCTTGCGAGTCAAAATAAGGAGATATGGATTACTTGACATAGTTAAACCCTTGCTGTCGTGGGTTCGAATCCCACCATGGCACCGAGGTTTAAAAATTCAATCAACGTGGATGCGTGAGACTTTAGGAAATATATTCTGTAAGCTGAAGGGGCTCTCGGTTCTGACGTGTAGGCAATTTAAGTCTATACAGTGGTTATACCTTCTGGTGTGGCACAACACTGACATTTCGGGTAAATTCCCCGCGATCTGGTTGAAAAGCTGCAGCTCTGCATTTCGACTAACAAACATTGCACTCATTGCATTAGGGCACCTGTCATTATTCAAAAACCAAGAGACAGACGCGAGCAGATCACGCCACTCTAGGTGCACTGATTTGTACTAAAATCTACTGATCCTATGCAGAGGGGGGAGCTGGCTGGGTAGCGTTTCCTGTGTGCAGATTGCAGGCACGCCCGCGTTGCGTGTTATCAGGGTGGGGCATCGATTCCCGTGAAAGAAGAGGATGAGGCACTCTCTACTCGATCTCCTTTTCAGTCTCACAGCGACTGCTGCCCTGAATTACGCTAGCCCTTCGCCTAAGCTCAATGTAGCCACAGGTGATCCAGATGCTGGTGTGCAATTGTTGTCTTTCAGCGGCTGAACGTTACACTAAGTCTCCTTTAGAGCGTGTTATCGATCAGAGTTAGGCAAACACCAAGCAAAATCGCACTGCTTGAAAACTGCACAACCTTTATGAAATACAGGCTTAAGATTTTATCCTGGGAAGGATAAACGACGGTGGCGTAAGTGACAGAGTAAGAGCGAGAAAGATTAAGTCAGATGATGCGTCGGCTCCACGGTGGCATGAAGGCGCGAGACGCAGACAATGGGACATAACAGGAGATGTCAAGGTAAACGACCACTAGGTAAGCTTAAAATTGCCTTGTTGTCTTTGCCCGCTCACCATCTCCATTTAAGAAACGACCAACCTCAGCGACTAGACAACATAACGGTCGCCGCCGCCGCCGCTGACAAGAACGGCTCCGTGGGGAACTGTTAGGACAAAATCCAGTCGCAGGCGCTGGCCGTCCTCGGTCGCGCATCCCGCCATCTACAACTACTCTCCGAGAAGGACTGCCTGCTAAAAGCCTACATAGACCACCCCACCGACGAAGACGACAACAAAGCAACATTCTACCGTTGCCGCCGCCTTGTGCAACAGCGTCTGCGCGAGATGCAGAACGCACGGTTGGCCCGCAAGGCCATGGAGATCGAAGGGCTCGCGCGACCACAACGAATGGAAGAACTTCCTCTCCGCCATCTACTGTCCGCCCGCTAAAGGTATTGCACCTCTCCTCGGCGCCGACTGAAAAACCCCACTCACCGAGAAGGCACAAATTCTGCAGCGATCGGCCGAATAATTCAGAAGCTTCCTCAATCGCCCCTCCAACATCTCCGACACCGCCATCGCCCGCCTGCCCAAATGAAGTCCAACACTAACCTCGACCTCCCACTCTCTCTCCACGAGACTATTAGGACAGTGCAGAAGCTCTCCAGCGGGAAAGCGCCCGCATCGGACGCGAGCTCTGTGGAGGTCTAAAAGCACGATGGTCCCCAAATCATGGAGCATCTGACAGCACTGTTCCAGGATATGTGGCGTCAAGGAGAAGTCCCACAGGATTTCAAGGACGCCAACATCATCCACCTATACAAACGGATAGGAAACCGCCAGCTTTGCGAGAACCACCGAGGCATCTCCTTACTGTACATTGCCAGTAAGATGTTTGCTCACATTCTTCTCAACCGCCTGAACAATCACTTGGATTAAGGTCTTCTGGCGAATAGTCAGTGCGGCTTTCGCCGTTATCGTGGCACCATGGACAGGATCTTCGCCCCCCCCCTAGCTGCAGTTGAAGCGTCAGGAGATGCGGACCCACCTGCACCCTTCTTTTGTGGATCTGACGAATGCGTTCGACAGGGTGAATTGTGACGAAATGTGGATAATCATGCGGTGATTTGGCTGTCCGGGATGATTCAGTCAGAGGGTGCGTCAGCTCCATGATGACATGATTGCACGCATCACGGACGAATTCGCAGTATTATGTTCCCCTCCATGTTGATGGACGCTTAACGCGACGAACGCCCCTGGATCCGCCTTGTCTATGGGACGGCTGGCCACGTCCTCAACCACAGACGGATGCACTTCCGGTCGCGTATATCCACAGTCAACATCCATGAACTTCTGTTCGTCGATAAGCACCTCGGGATCCGCATCGCTATATAGAACTGTGAGCGACCTGTCTAACCGCTGGACGAAGCAAAATTGATCGCGTTCTTCCACAACCGCCGTCCACTAAGAGAGCCAGGCCGAAACAGTTCCTTCTCAGCGTGTTCACGGCACCCTCACGCATGTCAGATGTAGGCTGCTCAACCCGAGTTGTGTGTAATCAAGGCGCTCGTGTTTGAGGAGCCAGGTCCTGCATGTGGCGCGCGTATACACGGTCACTTTACCCTGTCAGCCACGACGTCCATTCCACGCTCAAGTCAACTGACCGGCTCGGACAGTGGCTGCGGCCTGAGAATGTGAAGGGAGAGTGAGATCGACGACTCAGCGCATTTTTCTCACAATTAAATGCATATAATTCATGCTGAGCCAAATGCAGTTGCGCTGGAGCGACCACCTGGTGCGCATGGACAACGAGTGACTACCAGAACGCCTCTACTACGTAGACGTCGCGACGGGTTCTCGTCGTCACGGAGGCTAGATTCGCCGTTCAAAGGATACCCTGAAGTCCTCCCTGAAGCGCCTGCAAATCAACCCGACCAACTTGGAAGAGCTCGCCCGCGATCGTCCGACATGGAGGAGAACAGTGAAGACGGGCGCTGCTATCCACGAAGCCAACCGCATAGCCGCCGCCAAAGCGAAACGCGAAACCCGCAAATCACATCTTCGCCCAGTAAGCAACGCCGCGGCACAACCGCTTCCAAAGTGTCCTCGATGTCAACGGACATTCCGGGCTCGAATCGGACTTGTTGGACATCTTCTAATCAACTGCACCTCTCGAACTGAACCAAACTTTATCCCCCTGCCCGCCTCTTCCTCCCCGCTGCCGCCAACTAACTCTGACAATTCTTCTGAACCACCACTTCCATCCTCCTCCTCCTCCTCCTCCTCCTCCTCCTCCTACTCTTCCTCCTCCTCCTCCTTCTCCATCTCCTCCTCCCCCACTGTCCCATCGGCGGCCGCTCAGGCGGCCGTCTCGCACATCAACTCCGACACAACAACCGACACCACACCCACCTCTCCCGATTCTAGTGATGAGGATCAGGACTAAACCTGCCCTCACTGCGATCGCACCTTCACCTCACGCATCGGCCCGGTCGGTCACTTGAGAATCCATCGCACAGAGACAGGCGAACCAGTGCCTGGAGCACCAACCTATACCCACCAAGCTCGTCTCAATTGCCCACACTGCCCTCGAACCTTCAGGCAACGCATGGGCCTATTCGGCCAAATGCGCATCCACGAGATCTGCATTGACCGTACTCCCGACACACCAACCCCATCCAACACATCCACTGTGCACACCCCCACCCTCGCTCCAACCATCTGCGCCACCACCACCACCATCACGCACTCCTCCGTAGCTGACGTTGACACCGCCGACTTCTCATGTCCTCACTGTCCACGTACATTCACCTCACGCATCGGCCTTGTCGGTCACTTGCGATTCCTTCGCACAGAGACTGGCGAACCAGTGCCTGGATCACCAACCTGTGTGTGTGAGTGTGTGGGATGTAGGGGTGTCCAGCGGTGGGTTTGTAGCAGCCGCTCCAGTTCTCCTTTTCTCCGGCTCCGTTTTGTCGGTCGATGGCCGCGACAATCGTTGCCAGGCCGCTGACACACAACCACCCCCGCCGATTATAATTGCCCCCCCC